GGGTGGGGGGGTTCAAGGAACTTCTAAAAAAAACAGCAAGTGCAAGACTACTTTGTTAGAAGCCCCTGTAGTTGTAATATTGTACAATTGCTACTTTTCATGGCTTTCTCTTGAAAACAAGGCATTGGACTCATGAAGCAACTTCACAGGAATATTCAAGACATCAGCTTTACATCCAAATTTTGTTTCCAATAAGTAGAGAATTTTTACAGGAAACAGCATTTTTTATTGTTGACATCGTATAGATAGCCTGGGTGCCATCTGATTTGTAACGGCAACCCTGAGGGTTAGCCTGGAATCCATCCGTGAATGCTCTGTCTTCGCTCTGTTCCTCCGCTCTGCCTTCACGTAGCGGAGGAACGGAGCGGAGACAAAGCGTTCACGGATGGATTCCAGGCTACAAGGGTTGCCATTACATATTGGCTGGCACCCAGGCTATTGTATAGAAACATCTCAGCTGCCAGGACTGTCTGTGGTCATGTATATTTTGTGCTTCTTGAATGTTGATGCCCTACTCTTTCTTCATCCTGTAAGCTATTATTACTACCAATACTGTCCCACTGTTATTTTGTTGTATGTATAACAGACCACAAATGAATATATCATGTAGTGTACAGCCAGTCCCTGTCTTTGTCTTTATTGTGTTGAATTCCCATTACAAAGTGTTTCTTTTTTAACGAACGGTACGTTTTTTTTTTAAACTTGAAAACTAAAATGGCAGAAATATTGACGAAAAAAGCTATGTATGCAGTCGCTCGTAAAAGTTGTTCTAGGGACGCTTGTATCAAAATGAACAGATGCAGGACTAAACTGGTTCTTTCCTGATAAATACGTAATAATTAGGCAGTCCGGGGGTGTGCTCCAAAACGAGGGTGTGATGGATTAATTTTCACTTTTTAAATTTTAGAAAAATGAAACTTTTTACAGTTATACATCAAAACCTGATTTTGCCATCAGCTGATCGTTTGCAGACGTGGTCACAGTCTTGGCAGAAGTGAATTTTCCGTGTCGATCTCATTATCATATGAATGGAAACCAAGCAGATGCATGGTGGAAGGTAAAATCGTAACAGCTTGGGGATTGCCATAGTTCTACACCTGGCAGAGACTATGTTTCCATTCATATGATATTGAGAATGACACCGAAAAATTCACGAATTGATTTCCTTCGTACATTCTTCGTCAGTGTGATAATATTCAGTTTGTTGTCATGAAGAAAAGACCAGGTTCAAACTGAAGCTATCCCTGTCCTTGGTGCTGAAAGCCATCCCCACATAATGCCCCCCTCCCCTGTTCGTAGTAATATTACGCCGTTGCCGAGCATTTTCACCTCCCCTAACCTCATAAATCGGCTCCTTTTCTCTGTAAAGGCAGTTCTTACAACTCTGTAGCTTATCTGGGGGAACATAATTGCCCACAATAGTCCCGTTCGTCCGAAAATCCTTCGTAACTTCAGTTGTTTACGAAAAGCGGCTTTATGGTTTCGAGTCGGTTGCCCATATTTGGTTGTAAAGTGATACGTCATCGTTGTATTTATCTATCTATGTATCTATTGTATTAGCCAATCAGGCTCAATGACTCAAAAACGTTGCCGTGATGATAACCAATCAGCATTAAGGATACATAGGCTAATGACCCTCTGCGCCATGTATCAAAAGCGACTTCTAGCAGTCGGTGAAATTATTGCATGTAAAAAATCCCTCAAGTACCTGCAATAATTCCATGAACTGCTAGAGGCCCCCATTGACACGTGTGATGAATTGGCATTATGGCGCCTGTGGATGCATCACAGCATCCAATTAACTAAAACGTGAGGGAGTAAACTTTGTAAAGAAGGGTGCACGTTCGCCAGGGATGGAAAGATTCTTCTGGACACCTCAGGTATGAATTATTACACTTCTAGGTGCCCCCACGACCACCCCCGGTCAAGGGACCGGTAAGACGGTAAGACTTCTAGAAAGGGTTTGGTGGGAAAACGGGGTCGAAAAGTTTATGCGTTTATGTGTTTTATTGATGTTTGTTTCATTTTTCGTTACTGAACATATTTTCCTTTATTTTGTTCTTGTTATCAGTTCTAAGCGTCCAGAAAACACATAGACGTGAATAAGGATCATATAGAAAATATTGCAGCAACTAGTTCTATAATCGTTTGCGTTATTTTTACTTTAAACGCTAAGATTTACACCCAATTCTGCCTACATTTAACCATGCATACATGTATCTACATGATTCGCCTGGAGGATTACGTAACTACCTCGCATGACGTATGCGGCACCTGGACTTAATGTATGTATATTTTTTACCCTCGTTTATATATCAGACGATATCCGTTGATTTGATTGGCCCGCCTTTTAATCGAATTAATGCTCAGCTAAGAACTGTAAAATGACCATTTTATTGCATAACTTTTGACGCCATAAGCGTCCTTTTAGTCACAAATTACGGACGTTTCGGTTATATTCGGCAATACTTTGTAATTTTGTGATCTTATCGTTGATACTATGATATTGGAGTTGTCACTTACTAGCTAGAAAATGTTGTTATCGCAATCAAAATATAAATGGGTCAAAGAAAGATCATTTATGGGAAAATTACTAACGTGTGTTTTCCTAAATTTATAAAGTCGAATGATGAGGATAGAAAAATTGAAAAATTCGTATTTGTAAGATGAAAGTCATAATTAAATCATTGTGTTTTTCAGGCCTGTATGTGTGATGATTGCCTATTGGCTTGTCGTAAATCTAATCTTAAACTTGATTATCGAATGCGCGTAAATTTTGCTCGTGATTTACAGGTGGCATGACACATGTGCGTGAAACACGCCTTTAGCTTTCCAAGATGGCGAGTGTACATGGACGGGAAGAACGAGCGGGTTAACAATTACGCCCAGGAAGACGCGCCACGCCCGCTTTGGTGGTAAGTTGTACTTTAAATTGTCGTAGATACTCTCGGGACTATTATATATAAATCTCCTTTAAGTTAAATGAAGCAAAAAGACAGAATTTCGATAAAACGTTTCGGCAATTATCACCACGTGTTAACGCTGCACTTAGTTAAGTAACTGATGGGGGCGCATTTGCATGGTCGATAAAAAAAGCACTTTCATTTATTCAGCTGTTTATTCAAGTTTTTTGCACCGTAACCACCAATTATTTGGACACGGGTCAATCAAATTTTATTCAATGAGGGTGAAATTAATGATGTGAAATAGGAAAACGACACCAATCTTAAGAGGTGCACTTTGTAAGTAATCCGCCGAGGGGCGCCTTTATGTGACCCCTGACCTGAACAGCTTTGCCTGAAACGTGGTTTGTTGTAGTTTTTGTCCTGTGTGTTTTGGTCAAATTCTATGCGTTTCAATCTAAAACAAAAGTGTTCCGAGGCCGATAGCATACAGAGGGGACACGATAGTACCGTTTGTGTAGAGGATGACATGGAGATGACATGGATAAGGTGATAGATTTGTAAGAAGGGGAGACAGACGACCGGTAAGTTTGAGTGGGGAGGGGGGCGGTAACAGAGTTGTTTATGTATCGAAGACCATATCCAGGGCGTCAGTGACTCACATAGTGCTTAGGAAGGTAAATTTGTCTGTAGAAAAGACACCAAGAATCCACCGTAAGCTTAAGGACTGTAAGAGAAGCTGTGTTTTGGCCTGGAACAGTTTAGGACTATGCACCAGTTGTTGAACGGTAAATCCCAAACAGACTCTCCAACTTGACTTTGGTAAAATCTGAGATTGAAATTTTTTGTGTAAACCTTTAGTAGACAAACTGATGACAGACCAAAAATACTTGGTATGGTATCGTAGTTATGTAAATACATGTAGTTGTTTTTTGGGAACACAACTGAGATTGTAATCTTTATTTGTGTTATGTGAACTTTAGACAAATTGATGACAGAGCCAACAATACTTGAATATGATCATTTGTATGCCTTTGTTGTTGTTTAATACTGAAGCTCCTACATGTAACACTATGCATGTTGTTCCAGATTCTTAATCGAAATACATCAAGGAGCTCCAAGCCAAAGGAAATGTTTTCAGAGGTGCTGTAGTTATGTAGTTGTTTTTTGGGAACAGAAGTTGGTAAAATTGGGAACAACAAATATGGCAGTGACGCTGTGGTCCTGGGTTTGAATCCCCAGCAGGTTTGTATACATGTCTGAGCATCTCAAAGTCCTATCATGACTTGTTGATCACAGATTATTCACTTAAAGTTATATATTACAAAGTCACTGGAGTCAGGATGACTCTTCTTGCATCAACCAATTTCTTAATTCAAAACTTCAACTGCTTCCTAAGATGAAGTCTTTTTCGTTATTCAATAATAGGTGATATAATTGCATGTGTGCAATGATTGTTAAAAACTAAATCATGACAGTTTCATTGACACATGTTTGCATGTAATGATGACGGTTTATTTGATATTGATACATAAATACATATTTGACATGACATGTTTTTCTCCATATCATTTATTGCTGTATTTAGAAATTATAATATGAAGCTCATGTTCTGTGTGATTTTAGAACCATGCACAGTACTCAGGTTTCGTGTGTGTGGTAACATGACTTTATATACATGTATCTTACCTTACTTACCTTAGATTTAGAAGTGCTGTTTACACTATTGCCTAACTTGTGTTAATTACTTTTTTTATTTCTATGCATATGACCTTGATCCGCTCGTCAATTTTCATGAACTGATATTTGAAATGCATTTCCATTTGTCGATGGCTCTGATGATTTTGTACCTAGTTGTAATTTGATGAATGTCAATACGAGATGCATATTATGTTATTTGGATTGTGATATCAAGTGTGATTGTTATTTTGGTTATGATATTCTATGTGTCTGTTCATTGTTAGCTATTCTCTTCTTTTGCCTGACATTAATGTGTTCTTTTCCCAACCAAGACAGATTTGTAATATCTTAATTCTTATGTACATGTGATATCATCTGTATGTGAGATGTA